TAAGGTAAGAAGTACAATTGAAAATCTACAGTAAGGATCTATACATGCTAATAAGAGTACAATAACGGAAACAAAAATAAAGACAAACACTAGGAAATACCACTCATAACCAGGATGATAGCCGAGGATCTCTTGGTATCCCAAAGATCTTTTGGTATCCTCAATTATATGCCAGGATGATAGCCGAGGATCTCTTGGTATCCCAAAGATCTTTTGGTATCCTCAATTATATGCTAGGGATATCTTAGTATCCCGAGGATCTCTTGGTATCCTCAATTATATGCTAGGGATATCTTAGTATCCCGAGGATCTCTTGGTATCCTCAATATATACTGGGGATCTCTTGGTATCTTCAATATACGTGCCAGGGATCTCTTGGTACCCCGAGGATCTCTTGGTATCCTCAATTATATGCTAGAGATCTGTTAGTATCCCGAGGATCTCTTGGTATCCTCAATATACGTGCCAGGGATCTCTTGGTATCCTCAATATACGTGCCAGGGATCTCTTGGTATCCCGCACCTCATTTCAGATCATAAATACGTACATGGGATCTCCCGAGATGCCGTCCTGTAGTCCCAAAGTAAAAACACACAGTAGCAACACAAGAATACCCAATTAAGCTAAATTCCATACCAAGTAAACAGTTAATTCTAACCTAACATGCTTCACGTAATGCAATTAAGGCAATTTAGGCAAATAGGCAATTAAGTCAACTAAACATGCTTTCCTAAACTAGCAACATGCTAAATACGCAAGTAGAATAAAACAGGAAAAAGAACTCAATAAAAATACTTAAGGAAAAATTGGATTTTCAACAATTAGCTCAAGTACGCGCTCGTCACCTCACGTCCAAGGCGTTTCAATTATCAAATATATCATATCCTAAGGGGAAAGTCCCCCACACAAGGTTAGACAAGCCACTTACCTCGAACCAGCTCAAATCAACCCGAAACCATGCTCTTGCCACGAGTACTCGACTTCAAATAGCCCAAATATGTTCAATTCAATCGCATAATATAAATAACACTTCAAGTAACTGATTATACAATTAAATTCTAAGCTAATACGCGAAATTAGGTAAAATGACCAAAATACCCCTCGGACCCACGTCTCGGAATCGGGTAAAATTTATAATTTCAGAATCCTCAAACTCTCACGAGTCTAACCATACCAAAATTATCCAAATCTGATGTCAAACCCCTAATCAAAACTCAATTTCTCGGTCTAAGAACTTTCCCCCAATTTTCATACAAATTTCGAGATTAAAGGATGAATTCATGTTTAGATTAATGGGTTACAAGCAAAAAGAAGTGTAGAATCGTTACCCAATCGATATCTCTGAAAATTCCTCAAAATCTCGCTCAAATCCGAGCTCCCAAGCTTAAGTTTTGATAAAAATGGCTAAACCCTCGATTTTGAAATCTTATATCTGCCCAGGTAATTCCTTCTTCACGAATGTGGTCAAACCCTTGCGTTCGTGAAGCACAAAATGATTTTGACCATTTTTCCTCTTACACGATCGCGGCCAATACCTCGCGAATGTGATACTTGCACAGATAGGCCTTCGTGATCGCGTTCCAACTATCGCGAATGCGATGCATTAAATCTACTGAAACTCAGCCGCTCATTTTCTTCTATGCGAACGCGACGCCACCTATGCGAACGCGATGTACAAACACTTAGCCCTTCGCGAATGCGGTGCCTTCCTCGCGAACGCGAAGACTTAATTTTTCACCTTCCTCAACTGACTCTTAGCGAACGCGAGGGCCCACTTGCGAACGCGAAAAGTGAAATTCCTCTGCAACAACTGAACAAAATCTGCAATTTTTTTACAACTTAAAATGATCTGTTGAGCATCCAAAACACACCGGAGGCCCCCGAGACCTCAACCAAACCTGCCAACCAACCCTAAAACATCATTCAAACTTGTTCCAACCTTCGGAACGCTCAAAACAACATCAAAACACCTATTTTTCATCGGATTCAAGCCTAAGAATTCCAAAAACTCTAAAAATACGCTTTTGATCAAACAGTCTATCGAACCTCGTCCGGATGACCTGAAATTTTGCACGCACGTCACATTCAACACTACGGAGCTACTCCAACTTCCGAAATTCCATTTCGACCCTCGGATCAAAATCTCACTATCGGACCGGAAATTCCAAAAATTCAACTTTCGGCATTTCAAGCCTAAATTAATTACGAACATCCAAAACACAATCCGAACACGCTCCTAACCCCGAAATCACCCAACGGAGCTAACAGAACCATCGAATTTCCATTTCGAGTCCGTCTTCACACTGTTCCGACTACGACCAACTTTCCAACAGTTAAACTCTCATTTAGGGACTAAGTGTCCCATAACTCTCCAAAACTCAAAACCGAACATCCCGACAAATCAAAATAGAAGAAATAAACTTAGAAAAAAGTAATAAATAGGGGATCGGGGCATAAATTCTTAAGACGACCGGCCGGGTCGTCACACCTATATATTAGCCCTAGATTTCCTTTATTCTCTGCTGGGCCTTGGGTCCTCATTTCTTCTTCCTTTTCTTTTCCTCCTTAACACCCCCCCCCCCCATTTTTTCTTTCTATTATTTGCTACTAAATCCCTCTTTCTTCTTTCTCTTTTTAAATTTCTTTATATTAGCCTTTCATTTTGCATCCTACAATTATATCTTATTTCATAAGAAATTTCTTTCAATGCGTAATTTTAAAATTCTAAGTAATATATAGTTTCTCTCTTTCTAATGATACAACATAAATTTATATATTGGAGTATAATTTGAGCAGTATCATTTGTTGGCTTTTGAAAAAAAAATATCTTGATTAGTAGAGGTTTTAAGTTGATTCTCATATATTGATAACTTTAAATTTTTGGCTTTGGAAATAATTACCATATAACGCAATAATTAAATTGAAAAAATTAACCCAAGAATAATGATCATTAATCAAATCAAACAAAAATTATATAGTAATTAAGCTACTCTTTAAGAAAATCTTCTAATTGCAGACGTACTTTCATGATATATTTTTTTTGTACTTTTATCTAGAAATTAGTAAATCAAGCGTAAAAAAGTTGAATTAAAATCGAACTTATTTTCCTCTTTTAAATAAAAGACCTAATTGGATTAACCAAAAATTAACTGAATCGTCCATTCTTCCTATTCGGTCTTTTTGGCTAGTGGTAGGTGTGTGCGTGTGTATATATATATATATATATATATATATATATATATATATTCTTGATTATTCATTCTGAATCCGCCTCTGCGTAACATCACAGTTATTTGGTTATTCATTCCATATTTAATATATTTGTCTAATATTCTCGATTATTTGTGTTGAATCAATCTACATATCCTTAAAACCGCGTATAAATTCAATTGTTATCCGTTTTAAGGGTAATCAGTTTATACAACTGAATAACTAAACATCAAACTGGAAAAAAAAGTCAAACCAAATCAAATTTACTTTTATTTGGATGATATTTTTTCAAAATAAAAGTTAAATAATGCAAAATTAAACCAAAAGGTAAGTCTCAAGGGAAGAAGGGGGAATGCTGGAAAGGGGAAGCCGGGGGCGTGTGGCGAGCACCAGCAGATGGGAAGCATTGGATATGGATAACATGAGATGCCTGCCACGAGAGCTTTGGTTTTCTGTCACGTTGCGGAGGCGCACACGTTGATACTTGCTTTATCCACTAGCTTTGAGCGCTTTGTATTTCCATGTCATCACCATTTTCGTGAACATATTGCTCATGTCTCCTTCAATCTTCCATCTATTTTTATTCCTATATATATGATTTTTCTTTTTTTTTTAAAAAAATATATTATTTCTCCGTCTGCAAAAATACTTGTTCTCTGTTCATTGTAAACATATAAACTACTAGTGCATACCAAAAGGAATATGTAGACTCACCATAATATTCAAGTATAAAATATGAAATATGTTATTACATTAAGAAGTGTGCATGCAAGTCTATGTAACTTGGTAAAGGAATAAAAATTCATTTCATATGATTGAAAATTTGAAATAATGGACATCAATGATAAAATTGTACTACATATTTGATGAGACATCCAAACAGTCCAGCTGGCCTCTCCTCTAAAAACATATCGAAATAAGGCAACAAAAAAGTTTGTACGCCTAATATCATAATTAAAAAAAAGTATTATTTAAATCTAATTGATTCTTTTACTCATCAAACACCAAGCATCAAATATGTTTTATATAAAAATAATATGTACATATATGATATTGAATAATTCACTTTTTATTAGTTTTCAATTTTTATTATTTACAATCCAAAACCAAATCAAAAACCAGTCTTTTTAAATCTTTCTTCACATCAAACCGAAAATGAATTGAATATTAGTAAATCATATGTAAAAAATATTTACTTATTGCTTTAATGTATGTATTAAGTGCAAGTAATATATTTTATTGACACGAAAGATAAAAAAAATAGTTCAACATACTTCTTTACAATTTCAATAAAAAAATATGGAAAGATATTTTTATTTTGAATATCTTGTAAAGATAAAAATTTAACATAAAACTTAACAAAAAAATTATGCTTTCCAAATATATTTTTTTTGAAAATATTATTTATTTATGAAATATAATAATATTTTGGGAAAAAAACTTTCAAAAAATTTCGAATCCTCAAAACCTGGTTTAGGGCTGTTTTTTGATAAAAATATTTCTCGCACTCATAAAACTTTAATTTTTCTTCAAATAAAATATATGTTCAAATAATTTAATTTTAAAAAATTATTTTTTAACATAACTTCAAATTTTTTTTTTCCATTTCAATCAAATATATGTCCAAACATGACCTGACCAAATAAACGAGAATAACATGGAAGGATAAGCATGATTAATCACAGGTCAAAGGCAGAAAAAGCGAGCATGAAACGTGCATGCCTTTTGCTACATCACAAAACAACACAGCTCTTCCTGTGCCACATCTTATGCTGTCCCCATTTGATGGCTTGGTGCTCGCCACACGCCTGACGCCTTCCTCCCAACTCTTTACACTCTTTTAATAAGTTCTAACATAGGACCAACCTCTCCTTTTTCTCTTTCAGCCCTCCCCTTGTATTCCAAAAAAAAATTCCCAACTCACATTCCGATTCTGATTTCAAAATAAACAAAAGAAAAAGGAAATACTCGAAAGGTACATTTCCGTGCTATTCTTGGAATCCATTCTCTGGAAATTCCTCAATTTACTGTTTCTTTTTAAGTTCTCATACTATTTTAATACTCTAATTTTCTTGAATATAGTCCGAAAAGTTTTCTGGGATTGGATTGAGTGCACAGTCTTGTTTTGGGGTTAATTTTATAGGGTATGTGTTTTACCAGATTGATTTTACTTCCTTATTGATGATAAATAAGGTCAAATTCTAATCCTTTTAGGTGCTTGATTGTATTTATGTAGCTAGTATTTTACATTAAGAGGAGCAACAGTGATGGGTTTTTGCTACTATTAGTCCTCAGCTCAATTATATATGGGAGTGGCACTGGTTTCCACTCATTAGTGCTTGTATTATGTTATTAGTATTAAAAAGATCGATAGGCTTATGATTGGAATGTAAACCAGTAATATTAAAATAGAACTACAGAGTTTATGAAGTACGCCTTAATTGTACATTTGTACTACTAATTTGACATGGATTTAGTACGTCGTAACAATTTGTTTACATTGCTTATCCGTTATTGACGGTATCTGAATCTGAATAAAACATTTATGTATTTCTCTTTCATTGTGATTTTGCATAACAGCGTTGTCTGGCCAATAGCATCAAAGCCTTCAAGGTGGTATCTAGTTAAAGATGGGTGCTGAAAATCCTACTTCATCAGCTGAAAATGGTGGCATCGCTGTGGAGACATCACCTAATGGGTCAGTTAGATCTTGTTCATTGTTCTTAACAATTGTTATATCTCATTATCAAGTTTCTAGACAATTACAGCAATCTATAAGAAGTTTGCTTCCTGCTTTCTTTCGTTTTGCTATGATTTTTATACAATCTGATGTTGATGCCACTTAGAAGCTTGAACACAACTTGGCTTATGTTTCTTGTTCTTTTCAAGGACATAAGCCCGTATAGATCCTACACACATGGGCATACCAAAAGCTTTAGTTTTTCGGTTGGAGCTGGACTGTGCAAAAGACTTTGTGGTGGAATAATACCTACATATAGTGTTTTCTCAAATTGGTCATGTTAATGCAAAAGCTCAAACTGCCTCCGATGATTTGATTTGTTCGCAAATTTTTTCTTTCTTTAGTGATTTTCTGGTTCGTCTCACCAGAAGTAGGAAGTTTTTTATGATACATGGTGGTCTTTTAACGTAGTTTTGGATCATTATCGTATCTGCTTAGGATAGTTGCTTACCATTTGCAAAATACTTAATTTTTCATGCCGAAGTTTCAGCAAAAATTGTTTGTTCTTGCATATCCCTACTGTTTTTCCAAATTAATCCCGCGGATCTTTCATCAAGTTTTAGCTGAAAAACTGAAGCTTTTTGGAGAGAGCAGTTATAATTTTTCAAGTTAATTTAATCAGTAGTTACGGTTCTATCCCCTCTCCTCTGCTAAAAAATGTGCAACTTCAAATCAATTCGAACATCATTTTCGAGCTCTCCCCCCCAAAAAAAAAATTTCAAATGCTTCAGTTGGCTTTTAACTGTAAGAGCCACTTTTCAAAAAATGGAGATCAGTTAGGCACCGATCTGAAACAAGGAACTAAGTTAGTATTTCGGGTTAATTCTTTGATAAAATAATATTCTCTTCCCAAAATTTCCCGGAGAAGTTATTTATGACATTGATATGCACTGCTCTCTGTGATTTGTTATTACTGGAAAAGCTATTGTGAATCTTGCTTGATTGTTTTATGGCTCTCTTTATGCAGCTCTCCTTCCTGCAAGAAGATTCAGAAGAAAGTTCCAAAAAGAGTTCACAAGGCCGAGCGAGAGAAACTGAAGCGTGAGCATTTGAATGAGCTTTTTCTCGATTTGGCCAATGCACTTGGTAATTTCCTTGTCTGCTAATGATCCGTTATTTCTTTTTGGCAAATTGCAAAAGTGGCATTCTTACATTATCTACTTTCAAATCAGAGTCTTCAGATTAACCATACAATTATAGAAGCTTGACACTGATGCCTTATTGTTGTAGAACTATCTGAGCAAACAAATGGAAAAGCCTCCATATTGAATGAGACTGCTCGTTTCGTAAAGGACATGATATCCCAGATCAAGCATCTAAAGAGAGAAAATATAGCCTTGCTGTCTGAATCTCAATATGTAAGCCTCTTAATTTCAAGTTATATTTCCTGCTTGATGATGCTATAACGATGCATTTTCCCATCATTTGTCATCAAGATTTTCGAACGCACTCAGCTTTTTGATTATGCGACTTAAACTGTGTAGCTTTTCCCCATTTTCTATTGTCTTTCTTTGTAAACCTGCATTACTGAAATCCATCCTTTCTCATTGACAGCTTAGTATGGAGAAAAAGGAGCTACAGGATGACAACTCCGCTCTGGAGGCTCAAATTGGCAAATTAGATGGTGAAGTCAAAGAAAAGGTAGCTGAGACTAATCTTGACCTAAATCTGAGTCTTCCTGAAACTCAGCTACCACAGTTAGCCTCACAAGTTCCAGATAACTTTCTCCGATTGCCTGGTCCAGAGCATCCGTTCCAGCAGATGCAAATGATGAACCCTCTTTATGTCGTTCCCTTGAATTCTACTCCTCAAGCTTATCCGCAGCCTGATACTGCAAAGCCCGCAGCTATGCCCACATATTGTGTGAAGAAACCACAGGCCAGATATCCAACTCCAGCTGATGTATGGCCATCCCAAATTCTTGAAAAGCGACCTTAATTAGGACAGGAGGTTCAAAATAGTTTGTAAGAGTACTTTTCTAGTAGAGTTGAGGCCTTAAAAGGGAAGCCAAGTACAATTTGGCAGTCGTGCAGATTTAGACGATAAGCAGCATATTCCATCAATATTTTGGACTTGCAGCTCCCATTGTATATAACAGTTTCCCTGCACTATAACCGGTGACATTCTTCTTGTGCTATCACGGGGAAGATATACGGTTCAATGTAGCTAGAGCAGTAAGCAGTCTAGAGAGCTGATTGGTGTTATTTCCTATTTCCTTAAATCTTGATAACTGGTGATGTAAGTAAGCCTATAAGTAGGCATTTGGCGTGACATCTGTCATTATAGATCTCTTTGGTTATTTTTGCACCACCAAGAGGGTCAATTAAATTCTCTAAATATCTTCCTCCACTCTTTATTAGCCTTTCCTTTTGTTATACTACCTTGTTTCCTCTTCCTTTTTCTTCCACTCTTTATTAGCCTTTCCTTTTGTTATACTACCTTGTTTCCTCTTCCTTTTTCTTCCACTCTTTATTAGCCTTTCCTTTTGTTATACTACCTTGTTTCCTCTTCCTTTTCTTAAGTATGAAGAGTGGATTGAAATAGCATTCTTCAACATTTGCTCATAATAATTTTATATGTATTTGCCATGTTTCCACCTTTAGATGTTGAAAAATTAGTATTCATTTTATTCATTCGACAAATATTTTCACTATCTGGAGTGGCCCAGACATGAGAACATGTATTACCATCACTACTGTTTTAGGAGTTTGTTAGTTGTAATGACCCAGCCGGTCATTTTGTGTATTTGAGCCCCATTTTTTCTATTTTATGTTTTTCATATGCTTGTGTCACGACTCAAATTCTAACCTGTCGTGATGGTGCCTATCGTAGTACTAGGCAAGATGACATTACCAAAATATTTCCAACAATTAACAGAAAACGAATCAAGTAGTTTTAAATAAACAAAGTTTTCATAAATGGGGGTAAAATCCAAAACACAAATACGGAAAATAGCTCCCAAATTAGGGTGTCACTGAGCCCATGAGCAGATACATCACTAGCCTAGAAAAGAAATGTCTATGAAAGTCTGGATCTAAATACAATAAAAGAAGAGATAGGGAAGGAGAAACAAGGACTGCGAACGCCAGGTAGCTACCTCATAGTCTCCAAAGATCAGACGCGCACAATATCAACACCCAGCGTGTCCGGAAACACATGGATCTGCACACGAAGTGCAGAGTGTAGCGTGAGTACAACCAACTCAGTAAGTAACATGACTAAATAAAGAACTGAAGATAGTGACGAGCTGCACAATTATAATTCAAATTTCAGTAATCTCAAAGAAAGTAGACATACTTTCAAATCCGGCAATTTAAGTCAAATCAGTTTGCACATGCCATGTTCAAGTAAAACCGAATAAAATATCTTTCAGAAGGTTTCAAAACAGTGATATATGGCCACTATGTGTGTGGGCATGTGATTTTTGCCCTACACTAAATACTCCTATAAAATAAAAAAAAATAGATTTTTTCTAGTTGTTTGCCATTTTATAGGATTTTCGTAGGATTTTATTAATTGATTGCATTTTTGTGCACGTTTAATTTTGTTAAAATCATAAAAAAATGTCAAAAATACCATGCATTGCATTTAGATTTTGTTTTTATATTTTTAGATTAGTTAATTATTTGTTTTATTGAAAATGAAAATCACAAAAATGGCTCATTTTTATATTTTTGCTTTTAATTCTTCGATTAGTGAATTTTCTCTTTTAATTTAGGATCAAGTAATTGTTATAAATATTATAATTATATAATTAGCTTAATTTTACTATTTAGATTAATTTAGAAATTTAATTTAGGATTTTTAATTAAAAAAAAGAAAAAGAAAAACAAAGAAAAAGGAAATAAAAAAGGGTAATTAAAGAAAGGGGTTTTTAATCTGAATTTGGGCTAATTCTTATACCAAATCGGCCCAAATTTCCCCTCCCCCCAAATCAATCCAGACCCAGGCCCAAACATAGCCTACCCGGTCCAGCCCCCATTAAACAAAATGACGCCGTATTACATTCTTTTGATCCCAGCCATTGATAACTTTAGATCTAACAACTGGGAACTGGTTGGCCCTTTACTATATTACTATCTGAAACACCCTCTAACCCCAAAAAACACCCCCATTTCATCTCTTTCACCTGAAGAAGCCAAACCCTAGCCGCCCTAAATTCCTTCGCCGGCTCTGCCTTGTTCCGCCGCTGGAAATCGCCCCACGGTGGCGGCGACACTCCAAACCCTACCAAAATTACACCCTATAATCTCTTTTCCCTACCCTTTCCAAATCTCCAAATCATTTCCCTCAAATCCTTACCAAACTCTTCGAATCTTAGATCTAAGATCGGAATCCTAAAATCCTAAATTACCCAAACGGCCCCAAAATCACACCCCACAGTCCTCACACCTATCTAAACCTTAAACTATAATCAATTTCCCGAAAATCCCAGCCAATTTCTTCGAATTTCAATTATGAAATCCTCAGAACCCTAATCTTGTACCCTTTTCTGGTTTACGGTCAACGTTTGGTCATTTGAACTCCAACTTTCATTTCGACTGTTCTTGTTGAAAACAGTCGATTGATGTTAGTTCAATGTTCATTTTACCCTTTCGAAGCTTGATCAAGATTCGTTAGTTGGTCCAATTTGTTTTAAAAAAACGAATATAGGTAACTTCTTCCACCTTTTCTTTATTTTTCCTTTTTTCTTTGTTAATTCCTTTTCGTGTTTAATTGTTCCTGTTTTACCACATGATTTTAGGGTTTTTCTTCTTTTAAACTGTTAGTTGTTTGTTTACACGTTGTTCATTAGATTAATTAAAGCATGCTAAGATTTCATTTCAATTTTGCATAGGTTTAACTTAACTAAGGTTCTGGTGAATTGTTTGTTCTGTCTTTATTTCCATTTCTCTTGTTTAACTGCTCCTCTCCTGTATTCTAAATTTCAACATGTTAATTCATAAATTGAGTAATTTAACTTCTAGGATTTTGTTGTGGGTTTTCCTGATAATTTTGGTTTTGTTACTGTATAAATGCATTTAGCCGTTTAAGTTTAGTTTTGTTTAGGTTTAATTAGATAAAACACTTTCCTTTACTGATTAGGTTCTTAGTCCAAATTGCATCATTTTCAGTTTTTGTTTGCCATTTTGATTTGCATTCCGATCCTTTCCAGTCTTATCTTTGTTTGCCTAAATTTGTGAATCATTAGGAACTTCTTGGGGGCTAATCGAATAAAAGGAAACTTAAGGGGTCATCAAGGGGTAGATAATTCTAAAATTGGATAAAATTCATGCTGGAATGTTCTAGAATAGGGGGGCAGCTGACCTTATTTGGTTAGTACAAAGTACTGAGACCAATGAGGGACAGCCAACTGCCCAATTCTGTTAGAATATGCTCTTTGTGGCCGATGGAATAATTCTTTCAGCACATGACATCTTTGGTGCTTATATATAATACCTTTTCTATAGAGAAAAGCAGATTGAAAAACCCTAAAAAACACTCTTAAAATTCCAGCCATTGTGTACTTAAAAAATGGTTTTCTTTTGCTTTTTGGTTTAGCAAAAAACACTCAAAGACCTCCCTGATTTCTTCTAGTCTTCATAAGCTGAAAATGTGGTTTGAAAGTGAAGGTTTTCTTGGTTTCTCTTTGGGGTTTTACTGTGGTTAGCTGTTGTTGAAGTTTGGTTTTGATTTTTGGTTGCTGACTATCTGGTTTCTGCTGCTGCTCCTTTTCTTTTGAGTTTTCAACCAGTTTTTCATCTTATACTTGCTGGTTTTTGATTGCTGTTTATTCAGGGTACTAACTTTATTTCTTCCTCATGTACTACTGGTTTTTTCTGAAATGATATACTATTAATGAGCTTGTAAGCCATGTACAATGAAAGAGTTTTATGTGATGTTTGATTGATTTGATATGAATGAAATTGAATTTATTGTTGAACATAGAAAGGAATCAACATGACTCTCACTGTTTGGTCTGTTTCTGTTAGCCAAATGCTCTATGTTTTAAAGCTGATCCTGAATGCTGTTTTTATTAAAGTCATGCTATCTTCTCTTCTTTCTTTTTTAAATGAATAATATGTTGTTTCCTTAATATGACCTAAGACTGTTGGCAAACCATAAGCTAGTATCTGCAGATTTGGTCACTAGTTGGCAAATCAGCAGGCTCAAAAGCTGGAAAATTGGGATCCTACTATTTAACATGAGAGAGACCAAGCTTTAATAGACAAATCATGTCAAAAAGAGGCAGGGATTTTTCAGGTTGCTAGTTCTACAGAAATTGTAATAGATTAGTTGTTAATGTAGTTAGTTTATGTATTTAGTAGGTTATAATGTAATGTGTTGATTTTGAGAAGTTTTCTTATTTTTATGTTTTGAAAACTGTAATGAACTAGGCTTTAATTTCATTCAAAACAGCTGCTTTAGGAGTTTAATTATATTGTTATATTTTCATAAACAATAGTGGTGCAATGGGTCAGGTTGTGAGCCCACTCTGTAAGGACGAAATGACTGTTCTTTTATTTAAAGAGGGCTGAATCTGAAGCCCAGATAAAAAAAACTAAATGAATCTGGGCCTAGGACATTGGGCCTGGGCCCTAAGCCCAAAATTTGATTCAGTTGTAAGAGTTCTCTTTTATTATAAATCATAGTAAAAATATATGCTCTGTTTATCTTGCCAATCATATGGTTATTTTTCGAACTAGAACTGTACTCTGATCTTTAAATTCTGGCTTTTACTTAAAAGCAAATTGAAGTTTAGTTTGTTGTGAATGTGGTTAATTCAGATGTAGAGGTAGATAGGCCCAACTAGAAAACATGTAACAACTGGGCCCGCCTAAATATAAGCCCAATGTGGGCCGTTTGAATCAGACTCAGCAAGGTGTTTTTTAAACTCTTTGCTGTTGGGCCAAACTCCAGCCCAATACAGTTCTGAATTTGCTGTTTCTCCTTAAATAAATAAGTAATGGGACATTGCTAGCCCAAACCCCTTTTCAACCTTGATTAAAAGCCTAGCTTTTCACCTTAAGCTTGTCCATGATTAAAGGCTTCTTAGTGAATTTCAAATTAGGATTAAAACATGAGTATCCTTAGTTTTGCTTAGTGAAACACAAACCTTTTAAAATAAATCGAGGTGTGCCATTCACAATCGAATCACTTAAATCTATGGACCTCATATTAGTATTATAGCTTAGTATAGAAAACATTTTAAAACATTCGTAGCTTGCTTTAGGCGCGTTTATAATAAAATCATCATAGCTACGGGTACAGTTCCCATGACGTAGTTATGATACCTAATTTTCCAAATTCGGGGGTACATTTATATAACCTAGCCACAACTTCTAATAACTTTAATAAATTAAACATGT